TCCTAAAAGAAACTTTTTGAAGCCTGGTTGTGGAGAAACTCTTTTTCCAGCACATCTTAAAATATACTATTTCAAGGTATTTACTTTTAAATCATTAAAATATTGTCTCTATATGTTTTTCTTTCTCTTTCTTTCTTTCTTTTTCTTTTTTTTTGTATAAAAATAGACTATAAACTTTGACTATCACTCCATATTCATGTAAGGAATATCCTAGAAGAAGAAGTTATAGTCCCTTAAATACCTTCAGTTTTTAATTTCTTGACATTTTTAAAATGCTTTTGTTTGGAAATGTATTTTTCCCTGTCTTTTAAACAAAATGAACCAAACAATGCTATGTGTGTGCCAATGATACTCTAATAGTGATGTAATGGGACAGATGGTAGCTATACTTGTGATGAACATAGCATAATGTATAAATTTGTCAAATCACCAGGTTGTACATATGAAATTAATGAAACATTGTGTGTCAACTACACTCAAAAAATAATAAATTAAAAAAATAATATTATGTGTCAGGCACAATTCTAAAGATTTTACATAATTAACTTCTTTAATCCTTACAACCCCTCCATAAGGGACTTTATTATCTCCATTTTCTAAGTGAGAAAACTGAAGCAGAGAGATATTAAGTGACTTGCCTAAGGTCATACTGTTGTTAAGAGGATGAGCCAGGATTTGATTTGAGGCTTCTAAGTTACAGAATCTGATCTTTTTTTTTTTTCTTTTTTTGAGAGAGATTGAGAGAGAGAGAGAGAGAGAGAGAGAAAGAGAAAGCAGAAGTGGGGAGAAGGGCAGAGAGAGAATCTTAAGCAGGCTTCATACTCAGTGCAGAGCTGAACTTGGGGCTCGATCCCATGACCCTGGGATCGTGACCTGAACTGAAATCAAGAGCTGGAGGCTCAACTGACTGAGCCATCCAGGTGCCCCCAGAATCTGAACTCTTAAACACTGAGTCATGATGCTACATTTCTGAAGATAATGGATCATCTTCCTAAATAAATCAGGGCAATGACTGTGTATATCAATTTTTATTTGATGTCCACAGAAACTACTGTGGTCTAGCACAGGTTGTATCCCTGTAGTATAGGGATGTCCTTATCTATTACACTTTTTGATATACTTTACCTGCTTTCTTTGTCCTCTGTGAAAAAATAATTATCTTCAATGTATCTACTCCTACAAATTGCCCTCTTTCTTCCAATTATTCTGCTTCCAACTTCCTAAAATCCAGAAACCAGATCACCCGATATATTAGAACTGTCTCTGAAGTAGGAGTTGTGAGGTCTTGAGGGACGACCCAAGCCTTTAGTGAATGGACTTTGTGACATCTGTGACAGGGACCTTTATTTTTTGGCATGTCTTCTGTTATCCACTGTGATCCAGATAGTTTGGATGGCTGGGTAAGTGACTTCTCGATAAGTGAGGTGTCACAAAATATAAATTCAAGGCATTTCTACTCTTCCACCTGTTCAAAAGTGTGTTAGTCATCATCATAATTAGAAGGATGGCCTAGTTCCTCAAGCTTTTGGGTAGCCATCTGATGCTTAGAAGTAGAGGGACATGGCTACAACTTGTATAAAAATAGCCCTTCCAGATGGCTGAGGGGCAAAGTTACAACTCAGCAGCTTGATATAGCTGAGCACTCAAATTTTGGAGTAGGAGGAGAGCTATGCGAGAACTAGCCAGAGAGACTGGGCTGGACTCCAATCATAAGTAGAACAGTATATGCCAGGAAAGATCACTTAACGTGGCAGATTAGCTGTTAAGATTTCCTGTTTACTTCTTCTCCATCTCCTCCCCACCTCTCTTGATTCAACCTTACCTCTTAGCCCTAAGGAAAACACACACACACACACACACACACACACACACACACACACTTTTTGGAGGGGGACAAAACATAAGAGACTCTTAAATACAGAGAACAAACTGAGGGTTGCTGGGGGGGTTTTGGGTGGGAGGATGGGCTAATGGGCAAGGAGCATTGAGGAGGACACTTGTTAAGTGAGCACTGGGTGTTATATGTAGGGGATGAATCACTGGATTCTATTCCTGAAATCATTATTGTACTATATGCTAACTAACTTGGATGTAAAGTAAAAAATACTAAATAAATGAAAATTAAATTAAGAAAAAGGGAGAGTGTAAAGTTGAGATACTTAAAAGGGCTTTAGAATTTTTTTTTTTTTAATTTTTTTTTTCAACGTTTATTTATTTTTGGGACAGAGAGAGACAGAGCATGAATGGGAGAGGGGCAGAGAGAGAGGGAGACACAGAATCGGAAACAGGCTCCAGGCTCTGAGCCATCAGCCCAGAGCCCGACGCGGGGCTCAAACTCACGGACCGTGAGATCGTGACCTGGCTGAAGTCGGACGCTTAACCGACTGCGCCACCCAGGCGCCCCTAGAATTTTTTTTTAAATTTGTTTATTTTGAGAGAGATAGAGACAGCGTGAGTAGGGGGAGGGGCAGAGAGAAAATCCCAAGCAGGCTCTACTCTGCCGGCGCAGAGCCCTGATACGGGGCCCCAGCCCATGAAGCCCTGAGATCATGACCGGAGCGGAAACCGAGAGTCGGAGGTTTAACCGACTGAGCCCCCCAGGTGCCCCAAGGGCTTTAGAATTCTACTAGCCTAACTCCTTGTTTTAGACACAAGCGGAGACCTACAAAGGTGGTGACCACTTAGGCTCAACCAGCATGTTTGTGGGACTCAGATCCTCCAGCTTCTTGTCTGGGGCTCACCTTCCCACTCTTCTGTGGGGGGGTGTGTGCAGGTACACCAGGTCATATTGCCCCAGCCCTGCGTCATTCTAAACTCAAAAATTAAAGCCTCTGGTTGAAAAAAAAAAAAAAATTACAGAAGCTGTGATTTTGCTTCCCCTCCTCAAAACCAATACTAAAGCCCTGACAGAGGAGTCACTAGCTTGAAACCTCATTTCACAAATGGAAGTATTTCCTAATCGAATGCTTCAAAAGACTAGAAGATATCATTTTCACGTTTTCCCACCGCCTGTAAGCCTGCATTTCTATTGGATATTCTGGAAGAAAACTTAAGCCTCTGTCTGTAGTAAATCCATTACTTATCTCAATGTTCAAAAAATTGAACGTTGGTTTTTAAAATACAGAGGTTAGGAATGGATTAATGCTTGTATTTAGCAGTTGTAATAGACACTATTATTTTTGACAAATGAATTGAGAAACATACTGCTCTCTTTCAACATCGCTCATGATTAGCCTAAACCCAAGGCATTGCTGTGCCCTGCTGGCGGTACAGCCTCATTACAGGTACGTGACTTAGAGGGGCAAAGGGTTTGGGGCCAGCCTTGCCAATGTGGTTCTACGATAAACGGCTTACACTTCCATTAACCTAGCATATTCCTACAAAGGCTTTGCAGGTAGCAAAAAAAGCAAAGCCACAGCTAACTTTTCCCAACACGGTAGGATCTGTTCTTCCCAAGTGAACATGAAAACACTGTTGCAGAGTAGTTATGTTACTTTTCCAGAAAAAGTTTCTTTCCTTCTCAGGGAATTTACCCTCAAACTGCATGGAGTAAGGGCTTTGTGTCACCTAACTTGCAGTACCCTGGGAGCAAGCAAGGAGGTCTCTACCCTGGTGTACGTGCTCTGTTACAGTAGTGCGTCCTCAGGCTGCTCAGCTACATAGCCAGCTGATGAGACTGGTCGTTGTGGAAGGAGGAGCGGAGAGAAGACAGGGCAAACATTTTCTTTTTTATAAATGTTTATTTATTTTGGGGGGAGAGAGTGAGCAAGCGGGGGAGGGCCAAAGAGAGAGGGAGTTTGAGAAGCCGCAGTGGGCTCCACACTGACAGCAGAGAGCCTGGCGCTGGGCTCAAACTCATGAACCGTGAGACCATGACCCGAGCCAAAGTCAGACACTTTACCAACTGAGCCACCCAGGCGCCCCAGGATAAGCTTTTCTGATTGCTCACCAAGTGCCAGAGTCTCTGCTAACTTTGTTAGAGCTGGCTGGAGTGTTGACTGTCAAAGCTGATCTATGATAAAGTGTGCTAATTCTACTCCAGGTATATCCTCCTTATCCTGCAATTTAGCTGGATTGCTGAATAGGGCTAACCTGAAGCAGTGATCCACCTGCTAGACAGATAGTAACCAAATTAAGAAGGCAAGTCAAGGCATGATTTTTAATACCTTTATTAAGAAATATCAAAAGTTCATTACAGTTGCATACACAGTTTTACAAAGTTCAAGTGAAGGGGAACGTAGGGATGCCATCATATGCATGTTTGAGTACTAGGGTAGCTTGCCAAAAGGGTAACCCTACAACTTCTGTCACCTTAACAGTGGACCCCAACGATGCCTTTTCCCATTTCTGTTAGGCCATAACATAATACCTTAAGTTACTTGAAAGAGTTTTAATGTGTTATAAATACTTCTTAAATATTTGTCCTTTTATTTGTCATTATTGTTCCCTGAAAAAGCTGAGCCGTTTATAGGAAGCACAGCATCTGAGTCCAACTCACTGCTGTTTGTATTACATTTTCACCAAGCCTGCTTAGAGAGCCACATAACATTGCAAGTTACATGTTACCATATTACGCTTGGGAGAGAACCCACAACACATTGTTATTTTTTATTTAGCATTTTACAAAAAAAAGGGGGAGATCACTCAACTTGGAAACAAAACACCACATTCAGTGGAGTCATTAAGAAGGGGATATGTCTGCAATTCCACTGAGCTCCTCACAAGCGGTTAACGGCATGACCGGGAACAACTGGATGCAGGAACACCAACACAGAATACAGAAAGGGATCTTCTTGGGGATGGTACATCACTCACAATCTTTTACGTCAGGAGCATTGCATCAGAAGGGAATTACACTTTCAAAATAGTCGGGGCTAGTAGGTCATCAGCACCCGATGGGTAAGAGCAACGCTGTGGTGTGCCTTGGTGAAGGCTTGTGCTGGGTTATCTAAACGTAGGGTTTTGAAGAGATTGTCCAGCAACATCAGAAAGAGCCATCTTCAGAGGAAGGACTCCTTGTTCACCCACATGAGGCTACGTGTCTCATTGGGCTTGCATTCGTATTCAATGACAGAGAAGGGGCTTCCCCATTGGCAGTGATCTCGCTTGTGGTAATTGTAGAACTTGACTTGCCACACTGTCTCGAAGGTCCCAATGTCAGTGAACTGAGGGAAGAGAAACACGCCCCATAAAAACCTCATTCTGCCACAAGCAACAGGTAAGAGCTAATGGTAGTGAGAGAGATCCTGCATAATCCACAGTAATCAGTCAGGATTCTTTTGGTCTGCAAAGCTTAGGCCTTTATTTTAATGCACTGTTTTCCTTTATTATGTGAGATATTTTCCTGAAAAGCTGTAAACCACTTTTTCCCCCCTCTGTAGAATCTTATTCCCATTGTACCAGTGGCATTTGCTGTCACACTGTCTTTAATAAAAATAACTCCCCAAATTTATCTGTTTTCCAAATTTAATTATTGGAAACCACTCTTTGAATCTCAAAATTTCAGAGCTTGTTACAAAGGGGGATGAGGAAGAGAAGAGAGGGAATATTCATTAATGATTATCTTTTGGTTTCTATTTCAAAAGACCATTGTATGAAATAACATATGAACTATATCACTAAACATAAGACACAATTGCCCTTCCATCATTAATTTCAATTCCAGGGGAAAATATTTTCTTAGCATTTGATTGTTTAAGACCCTTCTTTAACTTTTGCAAATACTATTGAGTTTTATAAGTCAGGAATCCAGGCCTATGTCTCAGGCTTTGATTACACATTATCAAAAGCCATATTTAAGTGCCTACTATGTGCCTTACACATATAAAAATGTGTATAAGGTGTGATTCTTGCCCTCAAGAAGTTTGCATTTTACTTCCAGAAGGTACGCCCTGCGGGTCACTGCACAGATTTTTCCTGAGCCGTAAGCATACAATTCCCATGTGGCTAAGAAGAGGGCATAGAATAGCCTAGAGGCCACTGGGCAGGTGCTCAAGTGGCCTGCAGGGTAGCCTGACCCTGCTACTGCCTCCTGGAGCTATTTAGGGGATCTGGCATTACACAGCATGATGCCTGACGTTATTTTCTCCTCTGACCCTCTCCTGTCATGGGAAGGGAGAGGGACTGACTTGGCAGAATTCTTAGACTTGTCAGGAGCCAGAAGACGTGGAGGGTGGCAGGGCAGTGAGCAACAGGAGCCTTATGCTTGAGGCTGCTACAGGAGGAGGATGATCAGGTGCTTCCCAGATGGCTTTCCAAGATGCTCTCAAAATTATATCCTGCACCATTGCCTCATCCTGCTAATTTGATTCCAAAACAAGGTTTGGCTTTCCTTTGAGAAATCTGCCTGACTTGAAACAATGGGTGATATACCTAGAGTCCCCAACTCTTTCCCCAGGTAAGAAAAGAACCTTTTTCTAGTGGATCACGGCTTAACAGTCTAGAGACCTGTATAAGTATATGGTAGCTTTATTCACTATAGCCCCAGGTTGGAATCAACCCAATGTTTCATTACTCACTTGGTGATAAACAAGTTCTGGTATATCTATAAAATGGCATTTTACTCAACAATAAAAAGAAACATAATGATTCAGGCAGCAACAACGATGGATCTCAAAGATGTGCTGAGCAAAAGAATTCAGATCCCAAAGAACACATATACTGTATGATTCCATTCCATCTCCCTCCCTCCCCCCCCCCACACCTGTCTGTCTGTCTGCCTGTCTGTCTATCTCTCCAATCTATAGTGATGGAATACAACCTATGCTGACAGGAAGCAGGAAGCATCTGGGGTTAGTTAGAACCTGCGGTGGGAGGGGGGGGCACCTGGGTGGCTCAGTCGGTTAAGTGGCTGACTTTGGCTCAAGTCATGATCTCGTGGTCCGTGAGTTTGAGCCCTGCGTCCGGCTCTGTGCTGATAGCTCAGAGCCTGGAGCCTGCTTCAGATTCTGTGTCTCCCTCTCTCTCTGCCCCTCCCCCATTCACACTCTATCTCTGCCTTTCAAAAATGAACAAATGTTAAAAAAAAAAAAAAATCAAAAAAGAACCTGCGGTAGGAGGAAGGGATTAATGGTTGATGAAAATCTACAAGAGGGATCTTTTTTGGGGAAAATGTTTTACATCTTGACTGGGGTGGTGGTTATACAAGTATATGTATATTTGTCAAAGCTCATTGATCAGTATGCTTAAAATGGGTGCATTCATTACATGGAAACTACGCCTCAAAGTTGGTTAAAAAAAAAAAGAAATATGGATTTTTAGTGAGCTACAAGGAAATAGATATCCTAAACACTGCCAGTGGGAATTGAATTGTACAGGCTTTAGAAAGGGTTAAAGAGTGAACATACTTGGGTTGAGCAATTCTACTTCTAATTTATCTTAAGAACATCACAGTGATGGGTGCCTGGGTGGCTTGGTTGGTTAGGTGATGGGCTCTTGTTCTCAGCTCAGGTCATAATTTCACAGTTCTGGGGATCCAGCATCCAGCCCCTCATTGGGTTCCATGATGACAGCATGGAGCTTGCTTGAGATTCTCTCTCTCCTGCTCTTACTCCCTCCCACTCCGTCCCCCTCCCCGCTGCATACTCACACTCACTCTCACTCTCTAAATAAATAATAAACAAGTAAATAAATAAATAACACAGTCTTTATAGCAGTGAAAACCTGAACACTAAATGCCTATCTTTAAGACAGTTTTATGGTATATCTATGTAGTGGAATACTATATAGAAATTCTAAATGCAAAAATTTATTATTTTTAATGTACATTTATTTTTGTAAGAGGGAGAAAGAGCAGGGGAAGGGCAAAGAGAGTAGGAGACAAAGGATCTGAAGTGGGCTCTGTGCTGACAGTAGAGAGCCTGATGAGCGGCTTGAACTCATAAACCATGAGATCATGACCTGAGCTTAAGTCGGCTGCTTAACTGACTGAGCCACCCAGTTTCCCACTAAATGTAGATATTTAATAAACTTTTTCTATTATTCTCCATTGTTACCTGAACTAAGCAGAGTACCAACAAGAACATCTGGTATTAATTCAATTAAAATATACATATTCATGTTAGAAACACGGATGGAATGGGTTTTATTTATCCTGTATACTTATTTGTATTTTCAAAATTCAATGATTTAGTTTTTATAATCAGAAAGGAAAATTAAGCTAAACTGTATTTACAACAGATATTACCAAATAGTTAACATCCTGAATATAAAAGATTATATGATTAATTAGTAAGCTACTATGAATATTTGGATAAAGCTGGAACACATTCATTAAAAAGAAAAAATAGCTAACATCTGAAAAATCTTCTAATCTAATATTAGGGGACCCTGGGTGGCTCAGTCCGTTGAACATCCAACTCCTGATTTCAGCTCAGGTCATGATCCCAGAGCTGTGGGATTAAGCCCTGTGTCAGGCTCTACATTGAGTGTGCAGCCTGCTTGAGATTCTTTCCCTCCCTCCCTCCCTCCCTCTCTCTCTCTCTCTCCCCCCTAGTCATGTGCATGCTCTCTCTCTACAATAAAATAAAAAATTAAAAATACATGTGAACTTTTACAGAGATATTATTCACCTATCAACTTGGTAAAAATTTCTGAATACCAGAAGCAATTTAAGCATCCAACTTCAGGGTAATATAATAGAAGTGGTGGCATATCCATATGATGGATTTATATAACCATTTCACAGGAATTTGGGGTTTTTAATGATGAGAGAAAATGCTTAGAACAGTATCAACAAGCAAAAGATGGATAAAGACAGTATATATACAGTATAAGCTCCAGTATGTAAAATAAGACATAAAAAAGATAGTAGAAAAATATTAACAATAAAGTTTCTAAGTAAAATTGAGTGTTTTTCCATCTTTTCTACTTGAATTTTCTGCAATAAATATGTTACTTTTATAATCAGAACATTTTGTTTTTATTTTTAATGTTTATTTATTTTTGAGAGAGAGAGAGACAGAGAGTGAGCAGGGGAGGAACACAGAAAGAGAGGGAGACACAGAATTTGAAGGAGGTTCCAGGCTCTGAGCTGTCAGCACAGAGCCCCACGTGGGGCTTGAACCCACAAACCGTGAGATCATGACCTGAGCCAAAGTCAGACACTTAACCAACTGAGCCACCCAGAAACCCCTATAATCAGAATATTTTAAAGGGTGAAATGGATTTATCATCCCTAAAAAATTAACATATATATCTCCCTCACCCCAGCAGTTTTATAAATTCTATCAAGGATACATATATAGTAATGAAAAGATCACAGCTTTGTTGACAGCAGGGTTGTTATAGGAAGAATAAATTGAAATCTCATTTTATAAATGACCAAGATTTTTAAAGAGGGATTATTATTATTTGACCAGCACAGGGCACTGCACATTTTAAGTACAATTGAATGACATTAAGCTATAAAAATATTTTACACATACCAGCTAATCTTTTGAGGAAAGCAGCTTGAGACCATGCTAGGTAAGTGGGAGAAACAACACCGAGGCCTTTCTTGAAATAGATATAAATAAATAAAAGTTGGTTGCAAAAACAAAGATGATTATGACCACAGGGAAGAAAAACCTTAAGGTGTGACACTGTATCTGAATAACCTAAAAATTAAGAAAGTCTCAAGGTAACACAGGCGACCACTGTAGAAATCTGCTGACAGCAACAGAGCTAAAAGATATGGAATGTTTAGGTGCTTCTAATTCATTTTTTTTTCCTCTTTTTAAAAAAGGTTTATTTTTATTTTGAGAGAAAGAAAAAGAGAGTGCATGTGAGGAAGTATGGGTGGGGGGCAGAGAGAATCCCAAGCAGCCTCCACGCTGTCAGAGCAGAGCCTGATGTATCTTAAAGGCTTAATCTCAGCTCTTCAGTAGCTGAACGAAATACTAAATGTGTACTTGAACGTCAATGAAAACAGAAACCAGAAAACTGAATTATAAAGTACCTTCCTCTTTAATAGCTGCATATGCTTGGGATTTGTAATAATTTTATTGGCTACTATCATAATTTGGTGAGTCCATACATTATAGCTACTTTCTCCAGTGCCAATACTGGTAAACTGTTTCTCTAAGTCATACATCTCCAAGTCTTTTAGTTTACTCGATTTGGGGGAAATCATTCTTTTTTTTAAAGTTTGAGAGAGAAAGAAGAGTATGAGCAGGGAAGAAGGGCA